CCAAAGTGCTGCTCATAGGGGGTCATATGATTGTTGGGTTTTTCTCTGTACCTATTATTGTATGATCTACTGTACAATATAAAGCAGGCGACTTGAGGCGACTGTTGTTGTGATTTGGCGCTATAAATAAAATTGAATTGAATTGAATGTTTGGTACTCTGGTACTCTAAAGACTATTAGAGTAGAAACTATACTGTACAGAAGAAAAAGGTTCAGTCAGTGTTCTTTCAGGTGTTCATCACTGAGAAAGGGCAGGTGAAGGCAAGTCACACAACTCAGAAGCAGCTGTGGCATTTTGGGGGAATTTATCGATGGTTCATCAGGAGGTTCAGTAAGGTTGTCTTACCACTCGCCAGTCTAAACTCATCTAAAGTCCTGATAGAACAGCCTGCCCACCACACCTTTGACTTTTTAAAGGAATTCTGTAGCCTTACTTCATTTCTGGTTTCCATGCTTAGACAGAGTCAAAGGGCCAAACCGAGAGCTGTGTGGTACCGAACAGTCGGCCCACTTGAAGCTCACAACTAATGGAACACAAAGATCTCCACAGCCACACGTCTTTCTCAAAGCATTCCTCAGTTACCAGCTCCAATGTTCCCATCTCAGGAGTGTGAGTTTTTAGTCTATTGGTCATTACCTTCATTGATGTTTCTGGTTAAGGAGAGCATCCCATGTACCATTACTAAGAACACACTGCCACCATATTCCAGCACCTATCTACTCTCCAGGTGAGAAGGTCTTTCAAAAGTGATTAATTACAAACTTAGTTTAAAAACTGTCTCTTGTTTACATTAGTGGATTTGAAACTGAGGCAATCAGCAACCCGTCCATCTAAAGCCACCCAAACACTGGGCTGCCACTGGCCAATCAAAGCACTCCATTCTCAAATTTCAGACACAGTCATTGTCAAGTACTGAAGAAATGCATACATTGTTAACCAGGCTCAATGTGCAGCAGTGTATTTTACAAGCAGCTTCCCCCTCCCCATCACTAAATATATGCATCATACCTATTTTTGACTAAATGAGTGGCAAACTGCAAGGAACACAGGAGGTGGGCTCAAAGCAGACACAGGAATGTGATGGAAGATCTGCTCACTGAGCCTCTATTGCCACCTTCTATTTCTATGGTACATACTACTGAAATGTTAGAAGCATTGTCATCTGCAAGCTGCTACACATTTTGCTCTATACTGCCACATCAGGGTTTGGCCTTCCTCTCAGTCATACAACCCTCTGTGTTTCTGATCCATGTGGGTCTTCGTAGTCACCAAAGTCTTTACGCTTCATATTACTCTTACAGCCGATACACTGACTACAACAAACAACTAAAATCTAGCTCAAAATCTATATCCTAGATTTTGGCATTCAGCACTATGGGATAATAGGTGTTATTTGCTTTAGCTGTAGGTAGTTAGGTTGTAGCTTGTTATTGTCTTTACATCATTATTAAAATAGTTAAAAAACAGCCAACATTAAGAGAAACACAATAAAGCAACCCAAACGTATCATTCAGTATGAAACTAACCCACTTCTACACATGTAAAGAGCAGTTAGGAGGTTAGACTGAGCTTCAGTGAGTCAGAAGGTTAGCACCAGGTTACACCCTTAGGAGGTGAACAGGAAACCGAGCTGTCCTGATAGGAAGAGGAAACTCACCACCGTGGGGCTCAGAGGCATTGTAAGATGTGTCATTGTATGGCTCCTCTAGAAACAAGAGGCACACACAGTGGCACATCAATCTGCATAAAAACA